ACTACCACTACCACTACCACCACCTCTACTGCTTCCGCTACTGCTACCACCACCGCTACCGCTGCGACTGGTACTGCCACTGCTGCTTCTGCTGCTACTATCACGGTAATATTCTCCAGGACAGAACCACTTTCAAACACGTTAGTGAGAGCCGGAGCTATTCACAGTGGGAAGGTTAGCAGTGACTTCAATCAAAGCAGTTGTGCGAGTAAAGGAGGGGTCACATTGCAAACAGTGACAATGGTAAAAACACTAGAAGCAAGAGTCGTTCGCGACTCATTACCGGTCTCGCTCCTGTGCAGTGCAGTTTCAGAAGCTCCGTCGATTCGTGTCGGACAGCGGCCCGTCTCCGAATACATCCATGTTCAGGGTTTCGGCTTCATCAAGCCGGACGACATGCAAGAGGATGCCTTCTACCTGAGGCCAATGGCACTGCTTTCTGCAAGCCATGTCAAGCCATGTATAGCTGCAACCAAGTTTGGCCCTTCTCATGCAGGAGTGAGCTGCCGCCGGAGCTGGCAGGCGGCGAACCCCGAAGGGAGCAGGTGTGCACCGGTGAGCGGGAGTGAGCGGGAGTGGGGGTAGCATGCCTGCTGAGAGAGCGGAGGTGGTGGATAAGCGGGTCGAGTTCGAGGCCCCAAAGGGTCGGAGATCTTTTCTCGCCCCTTCCTGGCCGCCAGCAGGTTCGGGTGATGCCAGATGGCAAAGTCCGAGCGGAGAGGATCGTCTTCCTGCGGGGCCCGGGACCACCGGGCCCGCCACCGGCTCCCATGGCTCCCATGGCTCCCATGGCACCGCTTCCAGGCTCCTGGCTCCCAGGGTCGCCAACCGGCTTTCCGTGTGCTTCTCCAGCCGCTTTTCAGGACCCTTTCGAGAAGGCCGAATTCGGAACTTCTACCCATCCAAGGCCCTCTGCATCGACTGTCCCTGACAGATTTTAAGGGCACGTGGGCTTTTCAAGGTCTCGGTGAGTATTCACTCCTCATGTTCTAAGCAACTGCTCTCGCGCTGCCGTGAGGGCTATGGCTTCATCGAAGTGCCGATGGGTCCAGATGTCTTTTTCCTGCCTAGTGCTTTGCCAAAGGACCGGGGAGCAGTCCCAGCTAAGGAGGACAGTGATCCTGCCTTCGCTGCAGGACCTCCTGGACTCAAGGCAGCCCTTGGAAGGCCTGGAGATCTCCTTTGAGCCGAGCACCAGCGAGGCGGGCGCTCGGCAGTCCCTGAATAGAATAGAATATAATACAATATAATATAATATAAGAAAGTATAATACAGTATAGTATGATAAAATCGAATATAATATAATATAATTGGGGGAGCCTCGCCGGAGCGTTTTCGCCTCGCAGGAAGGAAAGCCGAGGGCCAGGAACATCCGGCCGCCCGAGCCTCAGCACCGGAGGGAAGAGAGTTTTGCACTAGGCTGCACGGACACTTTTTTTTTAGTGGGGGGGCGGATCCGAAACTCCAACCGGAAGCCCCGAGTCTTTTTTTTGAAGCCTTTCGGCTTACGAGGATTGGGCATCGCGGGGGCCCGCCGAATCAGAGGCCGGGTTACGATGGAAGTTTTGGGCGACCCCGACACCCCTAAAACCCCTAAACCCGTAGGATGTGTATGATGTCGGGTGTAAAGCTGCAAGACTCCTTCCTGTCAGGCCACCACCTCGAATGCCGTGGCGGGCTCAATCATGGCCCACGGCTTTGGCATCCTATTCGTTTGACGTTAGCATCGTTATCATTGCCATCTTCATCACATTTACTGTTGCAACTATGGCTATTGCTATTGTTCCCAGTCACGTTCTTACTCTGATTTTTGTCTTCTTGCTGTCGTGCGGCGCCCTCGACACACCTCAGGATCCCGGCCCCACCCGCCATGGTCCGGGCCTTGGCCGCAAGAATCCACCGTCAGGGTCTGGGGTTTAGGGTTTGGGGTTTCGAGGTTTTAGGGTGTTGGGGTTTCAAGGTTTAGGGTTCCGGGTCCTTTGGCCTGTTCTAAAGATGCGATGCTGTTCCCGCAGCATTTTTTTTATTCGAATCCCGCCCTTAGCCAGTGCTTGCACTGGAAGTTCGGCCGGATTCTCAGTGGGCAACCCCATGCCGCGAAGTTCCGATCCGAAGACTTCTGCGTTGCGCGAGGCTCGAAGTTTATGGCGCCGGCACCCACATCTCCCATCACCAGGGCGCTTCGGATATCCAAGCTGATGTTGAAGTTCGGAAGGGCTATTAGGCGAAGCATCGGCCAGCCATGAGCGGCTGTCAGGTGCACCGGTAACATAATGACGATCCCCCTGCGAAGACTTGCGATCCCAAGGCCAGTGTCGACACGATCATCTTCGTGGATGTTGACGGTGTGCTCAACGCGACCTGAATCAAAGATCTCAATTTTCACCTGCCTTGCTGTCTTACCCTTCGACTGCACAGAGCTTGCAGTGTTGTTTCAAGATGTCTCAGAGTCGGTGCATGAGGTTGGAATCCAAGACGACGACAAACCTCCTCTGCTTTTCCGTGATGTGCCTTGTTTGTGGGTTGGTCAAGTCGTTTCTTGAGATGCATCCCGATCCAAGAAATGGTGTATCCGGCGAATGCTTTGATGCTCTTGTGCATGAGCGAAGGAGGATGTCTACACTGCGCTGCGGCTCGCCAAAAAGGGCTACAACGGCCCCGAGGCTTCTGCTCTCAGTGGGGTCATTTGCAGTCCATCCTTCGCCCGCTTCATTCCCTTTCCCGCACGTTGCAGGCAAGCTGCGTGGAGAAGCTAAGCGCCCTAGCCGAACACCAGGCCGGGGTATGGGAGCGTTCTTGCCCAGGTGTGAGACAAAAGCCGTGAGACTTCATGGCCTCTCTTCTTGTGAAGAGCATATTGAACAGAGCAAACAGGTTGGATTCAAGGAGAATGGCACCTACGATACTCGGACTCAAGATTGACACCCTTGCGTGCATGAGGGCGGGATGCTCCTGTGACTTTAGATTCAATTTCACTTCACCGACTCTGACATCTGTGCAGGTCGGTGTAGTTCTGATGTGGAGAGCAGCATTGTCGAAATTCTGGTAGGCTGTCAGCAGTCTTCAATCATGTTACAAGTAGAGTCAGTTCCGGAGATGTGAGCCCTTGCTGAGGACAAGCTGATGACCCGTAGCGGTGCTGAGGCTGCGGCATCCGGCACTATTGTCAGTCCAGGGCCATGCTCTTCCCACATCTTTGCGCAAGCATCCTGTTCAGTTGACCGATCTTCTGGTCCAGCGACTGGCAAAGCTCATCGCGCCTTTGGCAGCTTTGTGCGGTAGGGTTCTTGCTGTGTCTTTTGACTGATGTGGATACCGCTGACCATTTTTGCATGTCGGTTCAGTGGAACCATGTGTGCTGTCACCTTCAAGCGGGGTGTTGCCACGTTTCCTGGGTCGAGGGTTCAGCGCAGAACTCAGTTCCAAGGCGCTGGCGGGCCCAAACACCAAGGTACGGGGGCTGCTTTGCAGTCTTGTACATGTGCTTTGAAGCTCTGAGCATGCTTGCTTGTATGAGCTTAGTGTTGGAGGTCGTGCTCTCGTCAAGCTGGCGCAGGCCTGGACTGGCTGCAGTCGATTCCTTGCTCCACTTCCGCTTCCTCCCTCTCTTCCTGTCCTCCCCTTCCTTCCTCTCCTTCTTCCCCTTCCTTCACTTCTTCCATTCCTCCCCTTGTCCTGCTTCCTCTTTCTTCCCTTACTCTTTTTTTCTTACGCCTATCCTGACCCACGAGCTGTGCCTGTTTCAGGGTTCTTCTGTTGGTGTCGGGCTTGGGGGGTAGTGGGTGGGGGGTGATGACGTTCGGTGTGCGCAGCTCCTTGCACGTGGTCGTCCTCACGGTGATTTTGATGTTGTCTTCATGATGGTGCCATGCTCCCTGAATCCGGTAGTCTTGCTCTTGGCTCGATTCCCATGTAGATGCGCAGAGCCGACATGCCGATTCCATTGGTATTTACGGTGTTTCCTCTGCTACATGCGCCGAATATATCGGTGCCCCCGGTGTTCCAGCGCCTCTAAATTAAGGGTTTCCTCAGGTGCCGAAATTTATGGTGTTTACTGTGCTTTGGTTGCCCTTTTTTCAGAGCATCCATGCCCGAACCGTGTCCACTCCGACCCCGTGCGATTGCCATAGAGCTCATGCCCGAGCCGTAATAACGTCCACTCCGACCCCATGCGATTGCTGCAGGGCATCCATGCCCGAATGACTACGATAGCATCCATGCCCGAACCGCAATAACCTCCACTCCGACCGCACCCATTAGAAGAGCACATGAGAAACCATCGCATCTTATCTGGGGAAACCCATTTTTCACAACGAAAAACACGTTCCAGAGCGCGGGTCCGCAAAGGCGGCGTTACCTTGTTTTTCCTTCCCCCGCTTCCTTCGAAGGCCGCACCACCGAACCCGCCGCCGACAGTTGGAGGAGTCTCTGGCACAGCACCTGGGCAAATCGTTGCTTGGTTGAAGCGGAGCTTGTGGGGTGAATGGCTGCCATACACTGCTATGATGCTTTCATGCGTGGAGAGGGATCCATAGGGACATGCCGACAGACAGCCTGCATGTCAGGCTCCAGCTTGTGCTCTGATTGCTGGGATTGACAAGGGGTACCCACGGCCTGACTTGACAGTTTGTGTAGGATGTCTCACGGTATGGCGGGCGAAATGGTACATCTCGGTCTGCTGACGTTGCTGCGCCGGTGTCGTGCGAGAGTCAGACCATGTCAGACCCAGGTTCCGCTTCCATTCCGTCACGGCTTTGTACCGTGAGGCCTCCGCTGCCTCTGATGAGATTCTGAAAATGTCTGCTGCCTCGTAGGAAAAGACGGCGGCTGATCGCCTGGAGACTGTTGGCGACTACCTCGCCGAATTCTGAACCTCGTCTGGCAATGGCATGCGGCGTTCCTGCTGAAGTCGTTGTGGTTCTTTGCCTTCGTTGCGTGCTTACTGAGTATACTGTATACCAGTGAGGCCATCGCCGCGATGATGTGACCAGCTTGCGAGTTGTGATGCTGGAGGACCGAGAGAGTGGAACTGCAAGCTTCGTAGGGCTTCGCAGATATCCTGACGTAAGGCGGGCAGATCTGCGACAACACCCCCCGTCCTGCGCTGGTGACGAACCCTGCTGGCATGATGATGCTCCGCTCATTCGGACTGCAGCCCGTTTCGTGGGCATGCAGCTACATGAAGATTCCATATTCCGACCTCGGAAAGACATCCTATGTCATCCCACGAACCGTGGAGCTTTGGGACTTGTGCAACACAACCAAACACAGCATTGAAGCAGACCCAAGAGGCGGTGGGAACAAATACGGCTGGGTTGCACCAATGAACATCTTCCGTTTCCCGCCATCGTACCAGCCCCTGCAATTCCCTTTTGGCCATGAATGAGGCAGGTTTGACAGTCTCGGCAGTCTGTCTGGCACAGTCGGTTTATGAGGAGCCGCAACCAGGAACACATGCGATCAGCGCACTAGAGTCCGTCCCTGCAGTCCTGGCAAACTACTCCTCCGTCGATGAAGTCTTGACAATGCTTGAAGCAGTGAGTGTCCTGACTCCTTTCGTGCCGGATGGGTCCAGGCGCTGCAGATCCGAGAGCTGCAGTTTTTATCCTAACTACTTTTGTTGCCCTTAGCCGATCCTTTACGCAACTGACCCGGGCTCATAAGTCCCCGTAGTACCAAAGGTGCCCCACAGGGTTGACTTAACGGAGTATAGTATAGCTGCTGGTAGCTGTGATACCTGAAACTTCAGGCCGTAGGTAGCTCTGATGGCGTTGGCCCCGAACACTGATAATGCTGGAAAGAATCAGGGCACCAACGTGCAGAACTAGGACCTTGGAGCACGCAGCCGAAGAAGAAGCTGAAGCCCGGCATCGTATGAGCATGGACGTTATCTACACGGAAGCCAATGTGCACATCAGGTCTCTGGAGCACATGCAGACGCCGAACACACCAGGCGATTAGCATTCGTCCAACAGGGCCGACATGTTTTGGTGTCCCAGCGCAAGCTGAACAGTTTCAGCCAAGGCTACTTCGCAGCGAGACAGATTGCCATGAGAAAAGGCAAGCAGCACTTAGGCGCATTGCACAAGACATGTCGCTTACAACTCGTGCACTTCACTTCGAGACACCGTTGAAGCACGCTGAGCTACAGGCAGCGCAGCTTCGCAAATCGTTCGATGACAAACGATCGTCGCTCCTCGAGTACCTAGCACAAGAGTTTGAGGAAAAGCTTCAATGGGAAGAGAATGAGTGTTTTCGAGGTTGAAGGCTGCAGAGTTGCAACATGACGATTTGGTAGCTGATGTGCGCGATGTCAATGCAGCGAGCTCGTTGGCGGCCTCGCACCCGTTGTCTCGGCCTTCGTGGATTTAGTCCCGGTTGTACAGGCCTCTGCTTTTTTTGGTGCAGTTGCCAGCTCGCACGTATGGGACATGTGGTCAGCGGCAGAGCAGCACCGATGCTCTTCCGATATGTGGGACACAGAAAAATGACTTCAAGCATCACCACGCACTCCTGCATTGAGAAGTGCTTAACGAATGTGCTGTATGCCCGCCTTCTCTAAGAGCTGACAGGATTTCTTCATCACGCCATTGGACGGCTTCCCGACGGAATCAGAGCACTGCTTGTCATTTTTTGTGCATGGGATCCTGTAATAACTGTCTCACCCTTAACCCTGGCCCTAAACCCTAAACCCTGGTAGTATCCTAATCGGTCCCTGAGAGGATGGAAGCTCAAAGGCCGGGCCATCAAGAACCCGAGCGACGCTGATCCGCGGCTGCATCGGCTGTACCGTACTTGTACTCCTTGAACCTTACTGTGGAGGAGAACACTTCTTTCGTTCGGGGATGCTTTCCCTGTTCAAGAGGAACGTTGCTACAACACGAGAGCGAATGCCAGGAAATCAAAAGCGGTTTGTACTTGTAGTCGGGGCTCAACAATCTGAACGCTTGATTTTCGTATCCGTGACAGAAGGCAGTGGTTTATCTGTGCATTTACAGCGTTCCTTCATGTTCAGTGGCATAGCAGATGCGCGTGCGAGCGGCTTTGCTGTCTGAGGAACGCTACCTGGACAGCCGTGCCCGCAGCATGTCACCAGCTCTGAGCGTCCAGTCGAAGCTCTGCCATTGCCGGACTCTCAGGGACTGCAGGCCCTGATACGCTCATGGGAAGCGGAAGCTAGTCTCAGGCTATGACCACGTGAAGACTAGCAGCGGACTGCGAATGCAGGCCCGTGCACGCTGACTTTGGTGGCGTACTTGGGGTACTGTAGGGCTGCAACACTGGTATGTGCCTCTACATGAGTGTTTACTCTTCGGCAACTAGAGATCTCCTTACCGAAGCACGTGCAAGCCATCGGCGACCGTCACATGCAGCAGCTGGCCATCATTTTTCATGGTCTGCTGCAGCATCCACGTGCCTGCGCTCCGCATGTCCGCCCATCACATGCAAGCTCAGCAACTCGCAAGGCGCTGTGGAAATGCCCAGTGTGTCTGGTGATGGAATGGATGTGCTACCATCGTACCGCTGAATTTTCAACTTCGGCGCCTACTTGTAGGGAATCTGCTCACTTGTTCAATTCCGACCGTTGCATGCTGTCCCGGCGACTTGTGCTTTCCCCCACCGTCGTTTTAATTCTTAAGTATCCTTGAGTTTCATCGTTGGCTTTTCTGTTGCCTTTCAACAGCTTATGTAAGGCCGACAGGATGAGCGGCAATCTCGCAAATCTGAACCGTCTCGCTGATCCTGATCTTGACTAAGTCGCTTTCTTTCCTGTGAGCTACTCCAGGGCATTCACGGGGATTTTATCACTCGGAGTCTGGGTTTGGGGTATGCGGAACTCGGACAATCATTCGTCGCAGTGCCTGCTGGCTACCAAAGTGGACAGGGGTCTGTACCGTTCGTGAAACGGATATACGGATTGCTGTCCATAACAGGTGGGCACGGGCTTCACGCAACAGCTGTTTGAAGAGGCAGGGTCCTTGGCCGCGGTCCTTTTGAACTATGCAATGCTTCGGGGCGTCCATCTGCGACTCCTCAAAAGGCCAGTGCCTTCCTTGACCGCGAGAAGCAGGAGGAATCGGCTGAAACGAACCAAGGCCTGGCGGCTAAAAGCGGGTACTCCATGCCTTTGCAGTGTCGGTACGTCACCAGGCGAGCAGGAGCAGAACTTCCTGCCATCCCTTGTGCAGCGTGCACCTGGGCAAAACAAAAATCACGTGACCTTTGGCATCATGCGCTTTTTGCTTGAAGCGAGGGCATGACAAGCATTGCAAGGTGGTGCCAGAGGCCAAAGTGGAGGACATGGTCTTCGTCAGACAAGTAGATTCACTTCCATCCGTTTCATTTCTCAAACCCGATTCTGCTACCTACGATGTGATCGTGGTGTTGGGGAGTCTCAGTGGTTTGGCATTCGGTGCGATGACCCAATGGTGAAGAATGGATGCTTTCAAGGAGCCCAGCATCATGCAGATCATTTCAGCCTTTGTCCCTCCAGTCAGCTCAATGGCCGCTCTGCAGCGAAGAAGTAGCCCAGAAGAATGCACAGTCTGTGTGGCCCCAAAAGAAAGAGTGCATGTTTTATGCAACGCCACTTCGAAGGCCCAGCTTCACCCAACCCGCTGGGACTGGCCAAATTGAGGCTTTGTCGGCTTTGGCTCTTTGAGCTTGAGCCAGTTAAGGTCAGGGCCTTTTGAAGAGTTGCTCCCTGGCCGCGGACTGGAAGCGGCTTCTTGGCCCCGCGTTTAGCAGCCGCTTTTTTGTCGGGGGTGCGGAGTACATGTTTGCAGGCGGGGGACGTGCCGCAATGGGCAGTCAAACTTGGACCAAGGATGCGATTCGCAAGGAAGCTTCAACAGCTTCGCGGTTCAAGAAGTGTTTTGGAGTCATCGGGCTTGCCCTTTGTGAAGACGGTTTTGGGACAGGTAGATAGTCCGGACACCTAGACTTACTAGACTTAGACGATTGTGCAGAGCGGTCAGCACAGCATCCTCACCCGGAGCAGGCCTGATGACTTAGCAATCTCGGAGCTGAATCAGGGAGCCTTGTGCACGTGTCCCAGGCGATACCGTGGTAGCGTGTTGTGGTCTGTTTTCCGCAGTCGTGACTCATGACAGTGCTTACTTAAAGGTCAACTCAAAGCAGAGACAAGCTCCCTGGCGTCGCAGTCAGTGCAAGCAAATTCAAGTCGTGGCCACAGCAAGAGGTGCCCCACTGACTTCTGCAGGAAACTGGATTCCAAATCGCCAGTTTGGGTACACGACTTTCGTTCCCTGCAGCCGTCACTGTTCGGAGTGGAGACCTGTACAAACATGAAGTAGTTGCAGAGGAAGTCCGCTCCTTTTGAACGTGTTGGGAGCCCTGTCGCCTTCCTAGCAAAGACACTGGACAACCGGAAGCGGCTACCTTCGCTCAGTGTTGCAAGAAGATGGCTGGGATGGCTCCCAGTGGCTGCCAAAGTTAGAAGGCGCGTTCGTGATACCCCGCAGGCTTCGTGCACTGTGGGGGATCTTTCGTTTGAAGCTCTGAGAGGCTCAAGAGCAAGAGGCGGTCCTATGAAGTCCTATGGGTTTGCCTGAGACGAGGTCGAAAACCATCTGGAGTGGGTATGAGAATTCTTGACAGTTGCTTGTCGTGCAGAGCCTTGAATTCCAGTGAGGCCGTGTTCAGTCCTCTGACATGTTGGCAGCTGCCTGCAAATCTTGAAATTGGGGTTGACGGCTCTCTGATCATTCGGGACAGTACGATGTTTACGCTTTGGAATGGGAGCTGCTGGTTAGAATATGTTAGACTGCCCTTCCACCATGAAATTGCCTTACAGGGCAGGTCGCCAACATGCGATCTTGGACTCCTGGCGTCACAGGCAAGGGACAAGTTTCCGAGCCCGTGTGCAACTTTGCTGGCTTCAGCCATGCACCCGGTGCGCTGCTTCTGAGACGAAGGCCCTTCCCTCTCGAGGGGACACGCTGTGACAACCGTTTGCGCTCTGCACGTAGCGCACAGAATTTGCAGTGTTGAGAGATAGGTTTTTCAAGTCGCATCGTAGAAGCGGGCCTGAGGTACTTGGCAGAGCATTGTGAGCTATCTCGCAAAAGTAATGACTGGTTTGAGCCCTGACCTCGAGCCTCGTTTGCGCTCTTCGCTAGTACGATGTGGCATCTTCCAAATAAGCGGCTAAATTTGTGCAGTTTACAGCGCCTATCCGACCTGTGGTGAGGCTAGCGGTGTGTATGTTCTATTATGTTCTAGGAGAGATCGGATCTGTTGGTGTCAGTGGACTGCTGACATTTTCGCTTTATTCAACCGCATGTGGTCACTCAGCACGTCATGGAAACTTCCAATTTCTCGATGGCCCGGCTGACATTGCTTCGTTGTGAGTGGCTTCAGGTTTTAGCAAATCGGGTTGTAGCTCGAGGGTTGGGCCATAATAAACCAAGTTCCAGCATGTTTCTTGTCCAGGCTTTCTGCTTGTGTTTCGGGCTATGTTACCATCCAGGACGGATGCGTGTGTCGGATGTTCGTCGTGCAAGGTGAGAGCTCTTCTGTGGATCCGCGACCGGGGGAGGAAGCTGCGTGTTAACTAACCCGCATAGCTGCATAGCATTCAGTAAGAGCGTCGTCAACTAAACTGCACGTGGTGAAATGGCGTACTCCAAAAACAGAACGTTTGTGTCCTCTCCGGCTGCAGAGATTCCTAAAGTAGAGCAGCGCACAGCGGCGTCCAATCAGGGGTTTGGCATCCCTTGTGATTGGGTTTGATCTCGAGGTGAAGTCCCGATGGTGTTACTGCACGATCTACCCATGTAACACCATGTAACCAAAAGGCACACTGACATCAATCTTTGTTTGGGCAGCGGTACATATCCAGAGTGAGTAGCTAGATTTCCGGATAATACGTCGCACACAAACACAAAACTTGAGAACTAGCAAGTTTAAACATCAACACACAGTCAATACAGGTATGCGGTACGAGCGTTATGGCGCAGGTGTAGACTATTGCACACACGCGCACGCACACACACTCACACAAGCAAACAAACAAACAAACACACACACACACACACATGCGCGCACACGCACATACACACACACACATATATATATATTCTTTTGCTTTCTTTATGCGTCTATATGCCTACACGGAGATGAGGTATAGATAGATCGGCAGAGGACTCTGAATGCAGGCGTAGGTAAGCAAACACACATACATTTCTGCACATCCAGATCTGCACATGTCCTTGTTCCGCCTGCCTTTGCTATCCGTAGATGTATCAGCCAGTTAGTCAGTCTACGTGTTTGTCCACATGTGCGCGGACATGCCAACGTATCTGTCCATGTAAAGATAAGCCATTTACTGTGCTGCACGTGCCAAATACGTTGGTATGCACACCTACGTGTCTATACATGCATGCATGCCATGCAAAGGATATACATGTGTAGAAAGTACGATACACTTAGCTAGACAGGTACATATGGATGAACATGGACATACCTATCCATGTGTGTCTACCTGTCTACTCACCTGCCTGCCTGCTTGCCTGCCTCCCGCCACCTACCTACCTGCCTGCCTGCTGCTTGCCTACCTGCCCACCTACTGACTTACCGACCCACCGACCTTCCGACCATGCACCTACGCACCTACGCACCTGCCCACCTACCTACTTGTTTGTCTATCTTATCTGTCTAACCTGTCTAGCCCGTTTAATCTATCTAATCTTTGTAATCTACCCGTCGTCTGTGCACTTGTGTTTTTTGTATCTGCAGCTGCGAAGCCGGAAATCTAACACCAGAGAGGATCCAACCTCGCTATGTTCTTCCCTGCGTTTGGTGAGGGAATCCGTTTGATGCGCGCTCTGATGGGGCCTGGCCTGGTTTGACATCAGGAGGTCATCACCTGTTTGAGGACTTGCGGCTGCCTGGGAAGAGACGTGCTCGCACTGGCTTGTCCCCAGGGCACTGTGCAACATGTGTAATAATAAGTCTTCGCACTGACAAAGTCTACCGATGTACCAGAAGCGGTGCTTGGAAGCCAAGTCATGCGGTCTGTCGCAACATTTGAGATTTGACAGATGGATCGTGCCTCTGCAGCTCAGTGGTGCAGTTGGGGGGCCGCCCTCAGTGGGCACTTGAGATTAGGGGCATAAGCATGGTCCGCCAGTTACGCGGCCTTGCCTCGCATCCGAGCGGCGGAAGGTCCCCCCACAGCTCCCCCTGACACTGTGCTCGTAGCTCTGATAGCAACCTCATAGCATGTTCCTGACGGGTGCAGGAAGGGGGCAGGTAGTTGGCAGCTCAAGGATTTGCAGGACAGCGTTAGAAGAATGATGGTAGAGTCAGAGTCAGTACAGTAGCGGCCTAAATCTAGAACGACGGTCTTGCACCCGTCCATTATGGAGGTTTCGACCCGGCCTGGGTAGCCGTTCACCCAGAGTGTCCTCGGACAGCTTCCTGGGATCCTGTGAATGTGAGAGCTCAGGAGGTCCCTTTTGGGGTACCTCCGGGCTCTGCCAGGCAACAGACGCCTTTGGGCCCATGGAGGGCTCATGGATGTCCAAATTCATGGTAGGTCTGCCAACGACAACTGTCACTCTTATGAACTCTGAAGAGGACAGTTTGCAGAGGAAGGCGGCTAGGCACTGATCGCTTGTTGGTCGGCTCAGCCTTTAGACGACTGAGCCCGGCCTGCCGTTTTCAGGGTACGACCCTCAACTGCTCCATTCAAGACTGAACAGTGAGCACTTGATGTCATAGCCGAAGGAGCTGTCAGTAGCTTTGTGGGCAGGTGGAAGTGCTCTGGAAGCTTTCAGCAAGCCCAGCTGTCGCCCTTCAGCTGTGCTGTTGGGGTGCAGTGATTGAGACTCACTGAAGGAGCCTGCATCATAGGATGCCACATCATAGGTGCACACACTTGAATTTCAGATTCCTGTAAGTAAAAACTTGCGATGTAAACCATCAACAGAAGCATCAATGTTCCTTCCTTTTGTATGTCGCGAATTCCTGATCCAACATTAAATTCGAGCCATGGTAGCAAATATTGCAGTGCTCTTGCGTGTTCTCCAGTCTCGATCTTTGACAATTTTCCGAACTCTGCGACTGTCTTTCTCTGAACAGCGCGCGGGTCACCTTGTTTATTCCATGGTGTGCAGATGTAAGCATGGCTCTGCGCGAATGGATTGCAGAGGAAGACGGGCACTTACAGCTGCAGCTCGCAGTTTGCCACGGTTTCAACATATTTAAACGTGGCACCGGTGCTGCAAGGAGACTCGGCCCGGGCGCAAATATCACGCACATCGCAATCAGTACCAGACGACGCTGTCGAAGCCAGAGGCGATTCTGTTGTCACAGTTTGTCCCTTCAACAAGAAGCCGTTTGAGCCATGCCAACCCCGGAAGCCCAAGTGTTGCTGGTGGCCAGTCTAGCAGGGAACCATCAACGCATGCCTGCTCCAGACAAGATCTCTGGTGGAGAGGCTTCTCAAGCGAGCCTGCATCACGGATCGTTGATCAGTCAACAGCTGTCAATACTACACAGCCAGCGGAGATACCTGGCTCGTGAGCATCAAACTCCCATCCGGCCATGCGCTAGAAAAGCATTCGTGCAGTCAAAGCCTGGAAGCCCGGTCCTGCATACTGCACGATGGCAGTGTGGGTCCATGGCAAGAAATTGTAAATCACTGGCGGTGAGAGGATGCACATTGTACATTCACTTTCCTTGGCGCAGATTGCTGCGCCTGTTATATGGTGAACATCACCCATGATCTTGTTGAAGTCGGATCTCTGGCAGCCTGAGCATTCCGGCAGTGAAGTGTAGCTGCCATACAGGAGACAGGAAGACAGTTTCGTATGCGTGGGCTGCATGAATGCACGAGGATTTGTATCTGGAGATTTTGGAAACCGATCCACGTTCAACCCGGATGAAAAAGAGAAGCATAAGATCTACCGGATGGATTTTTCTACACGCAAACAGGACAATAGCTTTCCATTGGCCATTGGCCAGGACTGCATGCCACACGTGGGGAGTCGGGCCCTGAACTATGGAAGATTCTGCCAGGTTCTGCAGCCTCCCCCGCCGGTGCCGATGGGGCATCCAGCAGGTGGGACCAAGCCTCTTGCGGCCTTCGGTGAAGCCTATGTGCTCTTGCTGGTTTTGTAGATAAGCTGCTGACTTGGCCTGGCCTCGAGTTGGCTATGAGGTCCACCGCCTGTCGTGCCCATGCCACCTCCACGACAGGTGGTGCGCCTCCCAAGATCCATGTTCTTGAAAACCGAAGAACAGCTCAGTCTAGTCTGGCAGCTGCTTTCACTGTCAAACGCTTTTTTCGTGCTTCCAGGCTCGATCCAAGCCTAGCTGACTTGTCTACTTTGCACTCAACCCCTCATGGAGAACCATGAACCCCTTCAGCCTCGTGGCACAGCATTCTCCAGCCTAGTGCAAACCAACAACACCTTCGCAATCGATGCGACACCACCTCGACTCTCCAGTTCCTCCAGCACCTCTATTCCTCGCTTTGTAGTCTGGCTTCCAGTCCAATGCTTTCATGATCGTTGCTCCGGCGGCGCTTAAACTGGTGCTGCCCGTGCCTGTGGCTAATGAGGAGCTGCGAAAGCACAGCTGGACTGCCGACCTCGCACTTTCCCTCCTGACCCAGGTTCCGCCAAGTCATGGAGCGCATGCTACAGGCAAGCGCAGCATCTCGACAGCAAAAGGGGAGACAGTGAGGGCAGAATGACCGAGCGGAAGAAGGATCACATCGGGTCGACGGATTAACAAATTCGCTTCCCAGGCCTGGGCAGCGCCGCGCCTCTCGCGGCTGCTGCAGCGGCAGCCCAGGTGACCCGGTGTCACATTCGGAGAGACATGATATTGGTTGGGGCAAGGGAAGGACGATGGGAGACGACGTGAACGTTCGGATCTCCTTGCTACCAGCACCTGCAGAGCTCAGGCATTGCGCCCACGCCCTGGGCGTCAACGTTCGGCGGCTGCCTCGCAGGCTTGCTAAGACCGTGTGCGCTGGACCGCATGGGAGCTGCGAGTCCGATACGGCCAGGGGGTCGCTGTGGAGTGGCAAACTCTACGGTCCCTTGACTTGCTATGTGAGACTGTAGCGAGCAGCCGAAAACTCCCAGTCGCATTTCCGCGACCAGATGCCTTTAATGTGAATTAGCAGCATCAGGCTTGGGGAATGCACGTCATTGCTGCATCCGAAGCCTTTGAATTTGATGGCAGCGAAGCCAAGGTCACGCATCGTTGAGACTCCCACGGGAAAGGAGCCCGACTTGGCTTTCTCAAGTCTGCTCTTGGCCGTGGATCTTCATGGCATCTTGCGCAATCTTGCGTATCTTGCGCTTTGCAGCCAGAGCAGTGGGCCAGGAGCTCGTCCAGGCGCAGGAAGAAATCTCTTCAGGCCACTGAAGCCAGGTGACGAGGTAAGACCGGACAGCCAGTTGTCGTGTGGTGTCAGGCCTCCGATGCCATCCAGATGCCGAGGTGCGTTGTACAAGCGTCTTCTCAGCAGCTGAGCATCTCGTCTTGCAGGTACGCTATTTCGGCTCCAGCCGACAAACACCTCGGGTGACCCAGATGCAGCATGATGCAACATGCTGTATATAGAACTGTAGCGAGAGCACATAAGAGGAATCCAACAACGGAAGTGAACAGGTGACATTCTATCGGGACTCGGCTGCGCTGTGCCCCCGCTGCCAGGCGTGTCGGACTGCGAACGCTTCTTCTAAACACAGAGTTCTGCGCTTCAAATAGCGTTGTCCCCGGAGGCAGTTTGGCTGCTCCTTGTGTCTTGGCGAGACATCTGGTGCTCAAGCAGTCGAGTCATGCGCCATGCTCGTGAGAAGGTGTTCCTGACTGTCGAAGGAAGCGAAGCGTATTGACTACATCGTGGTCAAAGAAAATCTTCCGTCATACGGGGAGAGAAGCGAGGCCTTTCTAAGGAAGGTACGCCGCTGCAAAGCATCAAAGGGAAGCATCAGAAGCATCTGTTGAAAGCTACGAGTGGGCGGGTCGAGCAGGTTCCTCGTGGTGCTCTGCCTGCCATTGAGATCGACGGTCGTTGGGCAACTGATAGCCTTGTCGCTTTGCCTGCACGAAGTCAGAAGCTCCAGAAAGCCACAACGGCTAGGACCAGTCCCCTGCCTTTTTGCATAGAGCGAAGGATGCCATGTTCCTTTTGGAGCGCACCTTTCCAAATCCAGAGCGGCCGATGATCCCCGGCTTCTCGCGACTGCGGGCTCCTTGCCTGTCTTAAAGGAGTCTCCTGGGGCCTTGCCCCAGAAAAAGCCTCCAGAATCCGTGCACAGGGCCGGGCGATCGAGCTGCTAGAGCTGCAGCGAGCAGTTCACTCAGCCTGGTGTCGGGGCCTCACGGGTTCAGGGTGCACAGGGTAGCACGCAGCAAAGTCTGCAAAGTCTCAGAACAGATCTTGTTCCTAGGCAACTACCTCTTCCGCGCCGAGATGTCCTTTGTTAACGAGCCTGCTGTGGATTTCGCCGCTGCTTTGGGACAGGTCCAGACTGCCTTGGAAGCTCGGCAAAAAGGGGCTCAGGCTCAGCTTTTGCAGGGTTCCCTAGGTGTTTGACACGAGGAGAGGGATCCAGACAATCCGTGGTTCCTGCCCTACGAGCATCCGACAATCGTGGATATCCAGTATGTCTGCACGATGGAAAGAATAGTGGCCAGCGCTTTCTTCTACAAGGCCGAGCAAACTTCCAGCGCCGAACAGAAGTGCAGGGGGTCACCATCTTTAAAGTGTGCAGGCCATGGATGTCCGTGCGGATTTTCCGGGAATCGACCGATGGCTTCGGGCCTTCGAGGATCCCTTTGACCCAAAGGGTGGGAGAATGTGGATCTGACACGTCACCAGGAGCTCCCATGGTACCGGGCCACGCGGGGAGACTACTACAGGCTGGGCCCCGGAAGCCGAGCCCTTCTCTGAGTCTCTCTCTGTCGGTGTCGCCCTTTTTGTGGCAGTCTCTGCATGGCCCTGGAGCCGGCTTATGGAGAGCCGCAGCCAGGCTGAGATGTGGGCGCTTTTGTTTTTTCTTGTTGCTGGGGGTCCAACTCGATTTCAGGGTCGAAAGACAGCAAAGGCAACCTAGCCCGATGAACAACTCGAGCCGGACGGATTGGAGAAAGCTGCTGCCAGAGCCACTTGGATCGCATCCTAGCCGGAGAGCGCGCATCGCTTAGCACAGCTTCTCACATTCTTCTCCGGAAGCCTCGCCAACTCTGCGAAAGCTGTTCGACGTGAGTGAATCCGAGGAACTACAGACTGCCTTTTGCATTGAGGCAGCATGGCTCGGGAATCGTCTTATCTATCAGGTGACACCAAGCCATTTGGAGAGAGACCGGCCCAGAGCTGTAGTGTTCGTAGCTGCTGCCTGGGATGTCGTCTGACAGCTTTGAAGCCTTCTTAGCAATTAGATTGAGGACCTGCTGCTTGGATAATTTGGGCAACGATCCTGCCCTTTGTGTTCTCGAGGAAGTTTCTACATGTCAGGCGTGATGTGGAACTGACGGCAGCCGAAGCCTCTTCAATCCTACGGCGCCCCTTTGTGGAGGCCGCAGTCCGTGGCGGTTCCTGATCTCAGTAGTTTCATTGAAGAGCGGGCGCTCTTGTCCTTTCTCAAACCCAAAAAGGCACACTCTCGCTCTTGCTCTCGTGTCTTGCCTGGGCCGTGTCTCGTGCTCTCTCTCTCTCTCTCT